GACGGGGACAGGGACAGCCAGCCGATGGGCTCTGCCGGCGTCACTTCCACTTGCCCCAATGCCACCAGGCGAGGGGTGCTGGCCGCACACCCCCCGACAGCAGCTCGTCGGCGTTAGCAATGGTCCCCCCCCCTGACTCAGTCCCCTCACGTACACGAGGCTTGAGAGCAGTACATATGGTGTGTCACTCTGGGGGGCTTCTTAACGGTATTTCGACATCTCACCTATCTGGCTGTCTCATGAGCTGTTCTTTAATCTTCAGCATTTGTCACCGGTGCCTCCCCGCAGGAGGACACGGTGGCGCCTGCTCGTCCTGCCGCGTGTCCCTTTGTGCTCACATCAGGGACAGCGTCACCCACCCGCCCTCTCGCTGGACGTGGCCGCATCTCCTCACACGGACAGAAACGCGCTGGGCTCTCACCCTCCCGTGCCCCGACCAGGCGCCGAGGTCTCGCCAGCCCCAGAAACAGGAGGAAAGCACGTGCCCCAAGCTGCTCAAGCCGTGAGTTAGCAATGCGAAGGAGCAACACAAGAGGCTCAGGTTGGTTTGTTGTGAAGGTTTACAAATTCACTGTTTTTCCCAAGAACACACTACAAGTGTGGTGTGCCTTTTCCAGTGGTACAGAACAGGGATGCACAAATACTTGCACGGTTTTACATTTATTTCATGTTCCACAGCCTGAACTGCAGAGTGGTTGACTTTGTGCGTTGTTTTGAAAGGGCCATCTCTATGGCTGCATACTGTTTTGCAGAGTTCCTACAGGGATTAAAACCCTCAAGGATAACAACCCAGTTTTCAGAGTTTGTCTACTCTGCGAGAACCAGGAGGCTTAACCCCAGCACCTGAAGTGCAGTGCTTCCAGAGAGCACGGCCACAGGCTCCAGCAAACCCGCCAGTGCTGTGGGAACGGACAGAGACTGTTAATGCAACAGTGCTGTTAAAAAAACATTCCAAGGTTTTGTTCTGTGCTTCTGGGGCATTAAACCTGTTCACAATCCTGTTTAATTACCTTTTTCTGGTAAATGTCCACGAGAGTGTTACTACTTGGAACAAAGCAGTGTTTTGATCTCTTACAAAGAGAATGACAATTACTATTCAGTTTGCATTTGCTTTCAAATGCCTTAGCCTATATCATGATTCCAGCGAAAATACCGAGGGTGCTTTCTGTATCATCCTCAGGCCCCAGTTCTTCACCATGATCCTCTGGAGAGGTGCGTACACCTTGTTCCTTAACGGTCTTTCTCTTTCTTCTGCGCACGTACACAGAGCGACTCTTCTCCCTCTCCTCAGGAGGTGAGATCTTTGCACTCACGGCAGCTTTCAGAGCTTGCTCCAAGCAGCTGTAGAATCTAGACAGAAACAACTGTGTCATCATTTCTGCAGGTTTGCTCAGGATCTGCAAAACTTCCCTGAGAAACTAACGCTTTGGTAATACAACCAAGATGTGCTAAAAGAAGAAAACTGTCACTATCATTGAACTGTTGTAGCCAACACTGGAAGAAAAACCAGAACTATCAGCCTGTGCCCTTGTGTGTGCTGTGCCGCTTCCCTTTGTAATGCTTGTTGTCAGAAATCAATGTGTGGATGTGCTCACGTGCCGCTAAGATCCGTTAATCTTACAGAAACTGTAAAATGGTATCAGGTTAAACATCTGATGAATGACAGCATTAATGGTCAGATGGACTGCTGCTATTAGCAACTACTTTAACAGCTACAGAGATTTTCAGTGGACATACAAAAATAAATGGTCTTAGACATGCAGGTGTCTCTTCAGCATCCCTTTGATCCTCAGGATCCTTGGCTCTTCTGCCTCCAGCTGAGGAGCAGAACAGGCAAATGTAATGCTGCAAAGGGTGTGTGTAACCTTCCACCACCTTCATAAATCACCAGTTTTGGAAACTACACAAAGCATGTAGTGGATTGAAGTGTGCACTGCAATCTGAATGCTGCTGAAGTGGGGACTGTGTTAGAGTACTACACGCTGTTATCCTCAGAGAAAGAAACTTCAACCCCACTCAGTAACAAAGAGTCTGCAAACTCTTGCTGTTTATAGGTTTTCACTTAAACAGTTCATGGTCTTCAGAGCTCAAAAAATTAATTGAAATTGCATTTTAGACTTTGGTGTTGTTTTTTTTTTTTTAACATAACCTCTCACTTTTGGATTTAGATGTCAGGAAGAGGTTTGGTGTAATCTTACAAACCTGTCAATCCTCCTTGCATTTTCCTCCATTTTCTGATTAGCCACATGTATCAGAAATTCAATATATTCTTCGGAGACCATCAGTTTCCCCTGGTGGCTCAATGGAACTTCTAAGCAGTGAGTGCTCCGGACAGCCTAAGAACACACACAGAAGGATTTATCTAGAACAAAGCTTTTTTGTTTTATGAAGGTTATTTAAATAATATGGGGAGTTCATTACAGTAAAAAACCCACATCTGCACAATTGGTTAGTCTGCTGTCAGCTAAAGCAGAAAGCTATTTCTTTGCTACAGCACGCCCTGTGATAGCTGGTGATCACATCACAATCCAGATCTTGGCTCATTAAAAAAATTGAGGTTAACAGTAACCACATGGTTTTGTCACATTCCTTACAGGTTAAGTAGAAAAGTCCTTACCATCATAACTTTTCCTCCTCTGCCAACGGTAATTCCAGAGTTCCTGAACCCAGCCTCGATAGCCACTGAATGCTGCAGGACAAATAAATGCCTTGAACAGGTTTTACACTCTCACAGCAATAAATAATTATGGATGCATTATGCAACCATCTTACCACCTCAGTTTTTGCAAAAAAACTTATTCAAAACCATCTCCCCAGATTAATGCAATACTAGTTAAATTAAAATGTTTTTAAGATCAAACCCACAAATTGTGGTTTGACTGTCTGATCTCACTCTGTGCAGCGGGGACATTACCGTCTCTCTGGGCACTGGACTGTGGTCTCTCAAAGAGCTGGGAGCCATACAGAGCTGTGCAACACTGACAGCCAAAAGTGCAGCAGTTCTACAAAAGGAGCTCATCAGCTCTCCTCTGCATAAACGAGGGAACACACCCACCAGGCGTTACTCTCGAGTCTTTCTGGAAAAGCTGAAGGCAAAGGTACAGCTCCGTTAGTGAAACTCTGGAGCCAAACAGCCTGGCTGGCAGCAAAACCACGTCTGAAAACCCGTCCCTTCCAGCCAGCTAAAGCAACCCTGGCTCTCTGGGAACAATTTGTACCAGGCAACCTGCTTCAGCTCCAAGACTGAACTGTAGCTGAGTAATTTTGTTTTTAAAAACGTACAGCAAAATCCCCACCACGTTCAAAGCTGTGTTTCCAGCTTGCTTTCACTACCCTCGTCGCTAACCATACAGCACACCTGGGACTACTCTTCAGTGCTAAAGCTTATTGAGGAGCCAGTACTTTTATTTTTACAGCAAGGAATCTAACAGAACCCCCCTGTAACTTGTCACTTGATGTGATTTTACCAGAAGCTGTGCATCTTGCAGCTCTTGACACAGCACGTGAAGAACAAATGGTTCAAACTTGAGCACAGCGTCACCGGTGGCCTTCTCTAGTGCTGCCATCTGGAAAATACACCAAAATATTTATATTAATACTGCAAATGTGTACTGTTACTACAAAAAAAAAAAAAAAAAAAAAGCTAGTCGGAGTGTGAAACAAGCATTAAAAACGCAGCAAATGAGTTCCCAGCAATCAGGTTTTGATTTTTCATTGCTCACAATACACAGAAACCCCACAGATTTCCATGGTTCTGTTTGCTAAACTGATTTGGTTTGACAGCAATTCATAGCAAGAGAGACTTTAAAAACTTTAAAAAGTGTGCTTCCCTGTTTATTTCCTTGTAGATTCAAATGAATCGACAGCCAGTACAGCGTGGGAAGAGGACTGCTCTCCTGCCATCAGGTGAAACCTCAGCACTGTTTTTTAAACTGTTCTTTAAACTCAAAGACGTTTAGTTTGTGAAGTACATTCCTCAACTTCAGAAAACTTCCTGGGGTTCAGCA